CATTGTTTGGTCCCAGCTCCTGCCAACCTAGCAGTTTGAAAGCACATCAAAGTGGAAGTAGATAAATAGGTACCGCTCTGGCGGGAAGGTAAACGGTGTTTCCGTGCGTTGCTCTGGTTTTGCCAGAAGCGGCTTAGTCATTCTGGCCACATGCCCCGGAAAAACTATCTGCTGACAAACGTCGGCTCCCTTGGCCAGTAAAGCGAGATGAGTGCCACAACCCCAGAGTCATTTGCGACTGGACTTAACTGTCAGGGGTCCTTTACCTTTACCTTTCTGTTCACTGAGGGTTTGAGACCCATCGACTACCCTCACTTGTTGTAACTGGCCAGTCGAAGCCATTTCTTGAAGTATGGCTGCTGTCACTTAGTGACAACTTCTAGGAGCCACAGGTGAGAGCTGAGTGCAGGGTGGGGACCAAAGGCGGACAAACTACCCCACAAAGAGCATGGCATGTCCCCGACCAGAGGTACTGTTGTTTAGTCGTTTAGTTCTGTCCGACTCTTCGTGACTCCATGGACCAGAGCACACCAGGCACTCCTGTCTTCCACTGCCTCCCGCAGTTTGGTCAAAACTCATGCTGGTAGCTTCGAGAACACTGTCCAAGCATTTCATCCTCTGTCGTCCCCTTCTCCTTGTGCCCTCCAACTTTCCCAACATCAGGGTCTTTTCCAGGGAGTCTTCTCTTCTCATGAGGTGGCCAAAATATTGGAGCCTCAGCTTCAGGATCTGTCCTTCCAGTGAGCACTCAGGGCTGATTTCCTTAAGAATGGAGAGGCTTGACCAGAGGTACTACCTGTCCCCTAACACCCCATACATCCAGGACGGTTGGATGACACCTTGTATGCCTCCTTCTGGCAACTCCTGCAGCCAAGATGGTGTCAAATGTATTGCTCTGCTTTCCTTTGGACCACATCAGTGCGTCTGAGAGGGGGGTCATGTCATCTGCCCAGGCTTGCGTCCCTGGGAGGTCACTTTGGTATTGCTAATGCAGCGGTTTGACTTTAACCCCGGAGGCACATTCCATTGTTCCTTGAGGCAGACAGGTGCCAACAACCACCTTGCGGTTAGTAATTTTATCTGCTTTCCCTTTGGTTTTGAATTACGTTATTGCAATTTTAAATATTTGAGATTATTTTTAATTGGCCAAACATTACAATTATTTTTTCTTGGCAACGTAACATAATTATGAGTGGTATTCAACTCAGTTTAACTCAGAGTAGAGCCACTGAAATTAAAGCACCCAACTTGGTCACACCCATTGATTCTAATGGCTCTACTCTGAATAAAACTTACCGTAGTTGGAATACCACCCAATGTTAAAATAGGAAGGTAGGGTAGAAACCATTTTATAAATAAAATTTATGAGTGAGCCTGTGGGCCAGTGTAAACAACAAAACAGAGTCTTCTTGAATTACTTTTAAAAATTATTTTTTTTTAATGAAGAAATAATTCCATTCCAAAATATAGACACACAATTAAATAGTTTAATCACTTCAAAATATAACATGTCCCCAGTAGGTTTGAACACACGCACGCACACACAAAACAATACTTAACAACAATACAAAAAAACCCCATACAATAATAGTTCTGTTTACAATACCAATGAACAATGTAAAATTTGTAGTGTGAGTCTGTCTGGACTGGTGTGAAATAACAGTAGTTAAAAACATCAGACAGTAGCCTCAAGATGTAACTCTTCATACATTTTTGGTTCACAAGTAAGATGCCCTCTCTTCTCAGGACACAGCAGCGTGCTCGTTGTTCAAGGCTCCTTTAACTGAATTGAACCAACCTAACTGTTGCAACCTGAGGTTGCAGTATTTACAATAAATATCTACAGCAATTCCAAGAAACTAATAAAGATGGGAGAAGATGATTAAAGTAAAGGCAGACATCTGTGCTAAATAATGATGCAACATTTTGTCTCATGCATATAAGAAAATACATATTATCACAACAAAGGCCACACACCTTTTAATGCAGTTTTTAGTTAACATTACTACTTACAGAGAATCTATTCTCCATCTTTCCTTTCAACATTCAAGAATCATATTCCTCTTCACATTCTCATTCCTCTCTCTTAACTACCTTTCCACTGACAATCCACAATAGGAGTTTTTGGCTGCGGTAACTGGCCAGAATTTTTTAATAAAAGGCCAGTTCAACCCTTTCTATAACTTCAATGTTCACAATCCAAACCAAGTTTAACAAATAGATGAGGACTGAGTGGGCTAAAACATAGACCCATTTGGGACAAAACTTTCATCTGACCACTCTCCTACATGTGCATGTGTGTCGGTTTTGTGGGAGGTGATGCCTTCCAGTGTCACCCTCTAGGCATATCTGTCCCACTAGACACCCACATCTGTGCATAATGTTTAAATGGGGCACCCACACATAAAATCCAACTCATGGAGGCCTGAATAGCACAAATAAAATCCAGGAATTGAAAATGTGGCCTGGTCACAGAATAACATCTGTGGAACTTTATCACATGTACATCTTTATTTAAAGATGCATTATAATGACCGATGGCCTTGGAGGTTGGTTGGTTAGTTGGATGGTAGCATTGGATAGATGGTGGCACTCCTGCTCCCTACGCAACACATGCTGCAGAGAAACTGGGGGAAGTACTGTCCTTGCTGGGCCACTATCAGCTCAAGAGCTGGGTAATATTGTAAAATGAGGTTTTTCTTTGTGGAGAGGCAAATTAAAAAGTGCTTAATCTTAGAGTTCCGGAGCATAACAGGCCACCTAGAGCACTGCTTGGGGGTTATGTGCTGAAACCAGGCTGAGAGAATGAAGACGGCAATAGTGCTACATAAACCTTGAAATGTAAGACTCATGCATGGATCTTACATGCAATATAGGTGTGCAAATAAAATGTTTTAAAGCAACGTGGTTATTACTCCCAACTGCAATTATGCGACTGGATTTGGGTCATTCAGACAGAGCTGTGTTCTTGTCCAGTTTGTCTCTCTTCAGGAAACACCTGACTGGAATCCTGAGCGACATGTCAGCAAGATTTCTTAACACTGTAGCGGTTTTATCTGCTGAGTGCTAGGCACTAGTAGAGTTCTGGTTCCTGAGAGAAGGTTACAGGAGAGGTAAGTGGTCACAGGTTATGTATAACCTGTGATGTATCTACCTGTTGGCAGATATGAACAGGAGTAAGGATTATTTATTGCAAATGTTGGGTTAGGGAGTGTCTCTATGTAAACATATTTTATATTCTGCAGTTGTCTGACTCGTGTGATTTGACTACATAGAGACAGTGCTGAAACATACACAAGGAGGAAGGTGGCCAGTGGTAGCAATGATTTCATGCATCTGTGAAAAGTACTAGTAACTATTTTTAACCCAAGTAAGTTTGTCCAATCCTTATTTCTAGTAGAATCAGAAGAGGGATTAAACTTCTAATTTGGACAAACTCTGTAGTAGCTCTTTGGGAGAAGCTTTATTATGGTTAATGATAGGACATTTTCTATGATGTTTCCATGAAACATGGGATTTATAAAACTGAACCTTTTCCAAACTGACATCCACTATTAGAATTGCTGTGCCATGTATTCAAAACCTTAATGGAACCCTAGAAATTTCCAGTTTACTTAATGTTTTATTCCTAGCTAAAATATCATTGGTGTGAGTTGCTACTGGCTAACTCAATGCATACCAATGGCTGGGAAATCTCATTGCAACTCCCCCCACCCTTTTTATAATCCAGATGGATGCAAAGGCTAATGGTCTCTCTCCTCCCTGTTATATAGTTGAAATAGGATGTTAAGTGTTACTCAAAGAGACACCTTTGTAACCACATATAGTTAGTAGGACTGTACTCCCCTCTGTCTTTTTCATAGATATACTTAGTATCCCCATTCAGTCCTGAAAGAAAGTCTCATTACACATTTCCAAGAATGCATGCAGAACATCTGGTGGCTGGCTAAGGCAATGCACATTCAGAAATAAAATAAAATAGTTGCAAGCGCACTTTTAAAGCCTGTACATTTAAAGCTGAAGGCCTCAACAAACAGGATATGAAGGATGGAGAAATGTGAAAGAACACATGCTTACTAAAGTTCTAAAACAGCTATTAAACAATACTATGAAAGATTATACGTTAACGTGAGTTAGTTTAGGGATTTTATGGCACCTGTGGTTTATAAACAGCTTTAGCAACGAGTATTTCAAAACATAGTTCACAGTTTTAAGAAGATCTGTGCTGATTTTAAAAACTAGATTCTATATCATTTGAATGTTGCCTTTTGTATATGATATCTATTTGAAAAGAAAATATTTACACTAACTTCTATGGCTGATTTGTTAGATTACTTTGAAAGAAAACATTCCTAAGTTATGTAGTAGCCCTAAATCATAGAGATACTTCTTAGTGCATTTTGTACAAGTCTTTTTTCGTTTCTTTTTTCTTTTTTGCAGAAAGACTGTAAAACAAATTGCAATCTAAGTCTGCAATCCTGCAGCTGGACATGTGCATTGAAGTCCCACAGATACTGGTGGGATTCAGTACATACAGCTGGCTGGAGGATTGCAGCCATAGTCTAGCGTCTGGGCTATAAATATGTACACTCAGGAGTATATTCATTCAGTGTTAAATGCATCATTTGTAGCTTTTAAAATTTCCTTTGTGGAAAAACAATGTACAGTGTAGGAAAGTGTTCTAAAATCTCAAACTATTCAGAAATCAAACTCCTAATATAAACAGTATATTAATATTGTCATTGTAAACTGAAGAGGTTCAACATTATGTGCAAAGGGCTTAAGTGTTTTGTTAGTACTGCCATTAACTGTAATAACGGCATTTTGTTTCAGCCTGTGTTCTTCACCAGTAATGAGCCATGTTACATAGAATGTAGCTGATATAAGTTAGCTTTAAATAAAAAGTCTTTTTTTTCTCTTCAAAACAAACACCTACAAACTACAACTGGTAGAACAAAAATACTGTGCTACAGTCTTCAAAACTAGTTGGTTATCTTATGTCAGAGGGGCTGCATGTGTTGTTGTTCTGCTTCTTCTGTGAAGCTGGCAGCCAGGCTCTCTCTGTCATCCGTCTGAGTGCAGCTCTCCTCCTCCTTCTCTTCCTCCTCCTCCTCCTCCTCCTCCTTTCTTCTGTCACTTTCATTGTCCATTTGACTGCAGCTTTCCTGTCAATATATATAATATACTGTCAAGCTTGCATAATGCATATTGGCAGTGCAGGGGGAGAGGAAGACGTATTAAAAATACACAGCCCTTCTCTGATCCATGACGTACATGGAGTTCCTGCACCCACACACATACACAAAATTTAAGGACGGTATCCTGCTTTTCAAAGGCAGCCCCACATACAATGCATTGCAGTAGATAAATGGGTTGTTGCTTAGCGCATGGATAAATGTAGCCTGGCTCTCTCTGTTCAGAGACTTTGAAGAGACTTAAATTTGACAAATTTTCTATAGATTGGACCATGCAACTGAATTGCGGACTCGTGAAATTAATTTTAAGCTTCCTGAAACAGAGAAAAGTGTGTATTTGTTTTACATTATAAGCCACAAAGTGATGTTAAGCAAACCTTTTGGAATAATCTTATGTTGCTATTAAAGGGTATATTGGTACAATTCTTTTTAAAAGAATGTTAGAATTTGTCCTTCAGTATTAAAGGTGCCTGGTTTAATGCAGGATAAAGTACAGTATAAAAACACAACCTTGCAGGTTATTTTTTAAAACAAATTCTGCCATAAGCAATCACCAACTGTATCTTAGCCACCTAGAATCTTGTAACACTATTTACATAATGTTTTCAAAAGTATAGCAAGCTGTTGCTGGCATATGATGGATAACACATTTTAACAAATCATAGTAGTGGCCAGTTTGATTGAATCCAGATGGCACATTTCTAAACTGAAATCAGTTGAATCTAAATAAGAACAATGGTATTGGGCCGGGTTCCATATCATTCATCTTGTTACTTAGGGACAGTACATTTGATATCCTGGGATGACAGTTTTACCTTAACAATATGATACACTCCTCTTCAGGTTGGTAACTTTACCAGTAATGCTCAGCAAGCATAGGTTGTGACTTGGCACTTATAATATACAGGTGGAGTAAAAGCATGGAGGTGTACAAGAACATATTGAGCTGTACACATTGCTCGAGTTCTGCTGTGGAAATGCTAGTTTCTATAGAAACTATCATTTCTATAATTTCTGTAATAAGCATAACTACAACGTGGAAATAGTATGTGGGAGAGCCAGGGTGCTGAAATGAACAGAATGTTGGTTTAGGACTTGAAAGATCCAGCTTCAAGTTGCCACTCAGCCATTAAGCTCATTGGGTGGCTTTGCATCAGTCCCCATCTCTCAGCCTAACCTATCTCACAAGGGTGTTTTTGAAGGGAAAGGGGGAGGGGCGTGTACTGTGCATAACACCTTCAGCTCTTTGAAGGACAGGTGGGCTAGAAATACAATACATTAAAAGCACCTTTGAAAGCAGCAAATTAAAACCTGCAAATTAGAGAATTATAACTGGGGATAATTCTGAGTGATGGCTTGAATTGACTAGTTAATGCATGTAGCAACCTGCAAGGTTGCGCATGTGTTTTAGATGGTACTTAAATTTAAAAGTGCCAGCTTTCAGATGAAATCATTCCACTAGACTAGGTGTTCCTAAACTATGGTCTGTGAGCTTCATTCAGGTGGGCCATCTTCATTCAGATGCTTATATTAAATATCCATATTGATTTTTAATTGCATTTTAATTGCCTTTTTTCTTTCTTATATTCTATGGAATGCAAACTGTAATGCAATGCAATACAATACAATACAAGAAAGAAAAGAAGTACTAAAAATACTATTAACAGTCATATAACATCTAACACAGCTGTTACAATTGCTACAACAGGAACAAAAATCATTAAGTGATCCACCAAAACCATCAACAATTTTCAAGTGGTCGGGGGGGGGGTTAGTTTGAGCACCTCTGTACAAGACTAAAGGTCAGAAACTGGCGGTGCATGGGTTCAGTCTGGTCCTTGAGGGGTGCCATAGGTTCCAAAACTGCTAGCCTCTCTCTGTTTCTTAAGGGAGAGGAGAAATATGGGAGGCAGACTCTTGGTGTGGAGAAACTGAAGTACACAAGCAAACGCAGAAACTCGTCTCACTTAAGCCCCTGCTTGCCTTGCCAGTTGCATTACAAAGTAAAAAAGCAAGAGAACAGGAAAAGGAGAACCACAGGAACATGCCAGCAATAGGAGGATCTAGCAGTAGGAGAACTACTGCTACACACTAGTCTCTGTGCCCAATTCTAGGTAGCAGAAAGGAGAGGAGGGAAGAGAAGGATGTCTGAATTTGGCAACAGTCCACTTTGGGCTTGAACAGTTCTCTCCTTCACACACAACCAGTTCATCCTGCTTGTAAAACAACCTGCTGACCAGAGATCTAGACTAATATAATACTTACTTGAGAGGAGAGTGATACTAGTTACTTATCCTTGCAAGCTGACCTATGAATAAAAAGAGAGTGAAAACTGAAGATGTGAGCAGCCAAACCAGCGTAGCATTCTGGAGACAGCAGTGGACAAGAAAGGTGAGCGAGTGTTCACAAGCAGTAACACTACACATTTATAAGGAAGGAGGTTTGCATGCCAGGTGATCCTGTAAGAAGGCTGCTGTTCTTCTGAATACAAAGGCCATTTACTACAAGCACCAGAGCAGAGAGAAAGGAAAACTCTCTAATTCTTCTGCCTAGACCTTCTATAGTTCAGTGCCTTGTAGTATAAAAGGAATGTGATTTCTCTGACAGGCAAAGTTCATGTAAGTTCAAACCAGTCAACTGTTCATTTATAAAGTAATTTTCTATGCACATATACAGTGGCGAATGTAAATTTTGGGGGCCCTGAAGCTAGAAGCAGCATTGAGGTCTAGGTAACTATTGTTATCTTCTTCAATGGGGTTGTTTCACAACAGATCATCATACCTTTACAACATCCATGCTACTGACTCTCAAACTTTGGGATTGTTGAAATATGTACAACCAAAAATTAATCAACTTGAGTCTACTAGATTTTTTAACAATGCAGACTAAAGTTTCTTCTGGGGTCCCTCTGGGATTAGGGGCCCTGAATATTAAGCTTCATTGGTTTCATAGCAGATCCGCCCTTGCACATGTGCCTGGAACACTATCTTCAAGGAATCTAACTAGGCCAAGGACTCCAGCCTATGATACAATCCTTTCCTTGATTTATGCCTGGTGGGTAACAAGAGGATTTCTATGAACTATCTTACGCCAGGAGTCAGAGCAAGGATGGGTTGCTTTCATTTTAATCCCTGGGATACGGCACCAGCTGCACAGGAAGCAGCAGCGTGGTCTGTTCCTGACAATGTGCTCATAATGTGACGCTATCACAGTTTTTGTGCTATCATTCCATGGCGATTGCTTTATGCGATGCATAGTTACAGCCATGTCGGGAGCGATGTTGTATTTAGTAGGTAGCAACAGAGTTGCTAGGGGAAAATAGGAAACATAAGCAGCAGCCTTACACAGAGTCAGGCCATTGGTCCATTGAGATCAATATTATCATTGTACTGACTGGAAGCAGCAGCTCTTCAGGGTTTCAGGCAGGAGTCTTTCCTAGCCTTCCCTGGATATGCCAGGGATTGATCTTGGGACTGTCTGCATGCAAACCAAGTGCTCCACCACTGGTATCTTCCCGGTGGGTGAGTGGCCATGGCGACAGTGCCTCTTTCGTACTGCTATGGCTGCATTTTTTTTACAGTGCTGGGAGGGGCACAGGATTCCAACTAGTTCCGCTTTGGCATAGCGGCAATCATTTTACAGGTTGGATCGGTCAGTTGGTTAGAACATAGTGCCGACAACGCCAAGGTTGCAGGTTTGATTCCCTTAAAGGACAGCTGCATATTCCAGCAGTGCAAGGGGTTGGGCAAGGTGGTCCTCAGGGTCCCTTCCAACTCTATGATTCTATGAGATATCTTCTATGAGAAGTGATATGCAAGGAATAGACATCTGCTACTTAGATGTTTTGGTAACTTGAACATATGTTTACCTAGACCACAGGACTGGACTACCTGTCTGCTGATCCTTTTTTCATTTGTTTGTATGTATGCATGAGGACTCTTGAGATTCACTTTTATGATAAGAGCCCCTTAATGCAGAAGGGCCACAGCCTAACTTTCTTTGAATGAAATAACATATAGAGCTGGTTTCCATATGCATATCATCACTTCGTTTCTCATTGCTTCATTACTCAAAACTTGATTGCGTTGCTCCGTTGAGCACATTCTTTGAGCTGGTGATGGATAACATGGAAGGTCAACCTTCAGAGATTAAATCAGTGATGGCTCATTTACACATGCAAATCTTCACTCTATTCTCCAGCTATGTGCCAAACATGCACACGTGAGCCAAGCACCACTCTATTGCAAATCAGTAAAAACAGTTGGCAAAGCACATTGTTGACAGAGAATGCTATTAGCATTTGTGATGCATCAACTAACAGCCTGTTGAGGTTAATGTCAGCCTTGTTCAGTTCAATACCTACAGCACTTCCTGATTACTCACACATAGAAACATGAATGAATATAATACTAGTTGGAATCTGACACCTCAGCTCTACAGAGAACACATTTGAGATCCAACCGAAATAGAATCCAGCACAGTGTCATTTGTGGATTCTAATTTTACCTAGATACTTTGCTGAGCTCTCTTTTTATTTTTACCTGATAAGCTTCATCCTGCAGCTTTTGTTTCAAATATTCCTCCATCTTGAGCTCATGCTCTAGCTGGCGAACAGAGTCATTTTCATAGTTCTCATCATCTGCTCTAACGTAAGGGTCTCCATCTTCTGTAACCCTAAAGACAATTATTAATAAACAGCTTCCTAAAATTTTAAAAATGCTAACATTCAGAACTCATTGCGTTTTCCTCATGAACTCTGAAAGGCAAGTCCTGTTTTGTGTATTTCTTAAAAACTCCATATACTGTATATTCTTTCAAAACAGAGGACTTATTTGTTTACACATTCACATTTCATCTTTCAAATGGATCTGTTCATTCACAGAGAGATTCCTACTTGCAGTGCCTTTGGGGATAATTACTGTATGCTAGACCCTAACTACTGTTCTGAAAAATGAATTCCTAGACTGCACCATGTCAGCCTAAAATGTGGAGGCTGCATTTGCTTCCTTACATAATAAATAAATACTATCTGTGTGTTGTAAACTAGAAATATGATAGATTTCTACTGGCAGGGAGTCTTCTCTCTCTTACTTCGAAGAGACAGCAACATATGAGAATTACAATATGATCCTCAACACCTGCAGTCTGAAATGGTATAATCTAGGAAGGAGATAACGTAGCCATCTATGTCAGAACTGTGTTTATGATTCTGGTCTGGGTAGGAATTCACAGCCGAGAACACAGGAAGTACCCTGGGGGAAAAAATAAGCACTGCTTTCTCTAAAGCACACTCACTAGCCCAGTTAGCACATAACATTAAGCCAAACTGTGGCTAAGCATGAATGAGCAAGCGTTCGGGTACTCAGAGGTAAGATCATGGGTGCTTTATTCTTTCCACAAAATTTCTCAGCTGCATGCCACCAACTGAGTTGTCGAAAGAAACCCACTGTTTCTGCGCTACCCAAAGCAAAGTCAGAGTTTGGCTTAGCAGTATGTATTAACCCAGGCTTGCAGTTTGTCTCCCCCAAACAAACAATGAGCAGTAAACCAAGAACATGCTTGATTAAACATGCTTAGGATTCTTTTGCACAGTGTTAGTTGATTTAACAGTGCAATCCTATGTATGTTTACTTGGAGGTAAGTCCCACTTTGTCAGTAAAGCTTACTCCCTAGTAACCACACTTAGAATTGCAGCTTAAACTTCTGATTAATTGAATTAAAACATGCATATTTAAAGAAATCACAAACAATTCTTTAATCAGAACATCTCCTACTTTACTTTTTTTATTAATTTCAGCAACTGAAATACCACTTAACACCATAGTTTTTAAGTTGTGCACAATGAGATTACAAAAAAGATACAAAGATAAAATCAGTTAAAACCAAACATAAAGTAAAAAAGGCTAGCTTAAGATGCCTGCTAAAGTTTTTAAAAAGTCTTCACCATGTACCTGAATAGAGGATATAAGGCATAGGCATGTATTGGTATGTATTTTTCCTACATTTGTGACTCATCAGTATGTCTTTAATGCTTTGGCATAACTGATATGCAGAATTTCTCTCTGAATCTGAGACGAAGCAAAGTTCTGCAAATGTCATATTCTACATTGAGAAAGACTGTTTTGTAAATGGGAGGTAAGGCAACACTGGAAATTCTGTATACAGAAATTAGGTTTAGATTGTCTTGGTAGTGACTGACTTTCCCCCTGCAGCTAGAATGGCTTTGTCCTACTGCAAATCCACCTGCTTAAATGGTGTATGTATAAAGATCGAAACTGAGCAAAAAAATGCAGAACACTTGACACTTGATTCAGGTAGGTAGCCGTGCTGGTCTGATGCAGTCAAAATAAAAAAACAACCAAAACACTCGAGGAAGAGTGCAAATAAGAGATTTATTTGGGATAATTTATTAGAGACCAAATTCCAGTGATGGCTTTTAATTAAGGTCTAACATACATAAGTAGAAGGCAGAGCAGACGAAGGGGCCACGTATTACAGGGACCCTGCTGGGGGTGCAACCTGTTTCTGTGTCCTCTATATATACAGACTGAAGGGATAGCTCAGTTGGTAGAGCATGAGACTTTTAATCTCAGGGTCATGGGTTTGAGCAAGACTAGGGGCAAAGTGGCCATGATTTCTACTCTTAAGTACCTGCATGCTTGCTCATTCATGCTTAGCCATGGTTTGGGCTCAGAATTACATGTGAGCCAGGTCACAGTGTGTGCAGAAAGTCAGCAGTGTGGACTGTGCAACTGCTGTTTTTGTCTACTCTGTGAACCAATAGGATTAGTAGTAATAGAATTTCTAGAGCAGTTTTTGTTATGTGGAATGGGAAGGGGAGGCTAATTTCTGAGCCATTTCCCCTGTCCCCTTAAAGGCCCATGACCTAGGCTATCACCTCACCAAGAAGCTAACCAGGATATCTCAGGAATTAGAAGGGGGCCCAGGCCTACAGCCTACCACCCCACAAACATATAACAATTTCCACTGGAAATATTCTTTCCCTCTAGCTGGAGGTCAGCAATTGCTATATTCATCTCCTAGTAAAGGGCTCTGCCCTGAAAACAAACTCAGTTTCTACATTTATTTGCTTCAGTGCTGAATTTCCAAGTTAAAATCACTGTTTTTCTTTTGAAGGCTGTGAGATTCATAAAATGGATTTAAACACATTAGCCCTCATTGCTATTCTTGACCTAATATTTGGTTAAGAGAGCAACTCCATATTACATGTACATACCACATTTGCTTAGCTTCAGAGATGGTTTATTGAAGACAATATGGAATATATATTCTTTAAAAAGGAAAGAGAGATAAAGAGCACAAGGAGTTACCCACATATCACTGCGGATGGTGCCAGAGGCAGCTGCACTGTGAAGGTATCCTGGCTTCCGGGCATGAATCTGCGCAAGGAAAGCCTTTTCAGAAGTTGGCGATGGAACAAGGTCATCAAAATGAGTCCGACCAAACTCAGAATCCACATTACTCTCTGTCTCACTTCCAACTTCTGTGGGAAGAAAGGCGCCAACATGAACTCTAGGAAGTTTCTCTCATGTTTCTAGCACAGACTGACTTTACACCACCATCCTAAATGGCTATAAACACACCAGTTGCATACAGTTTTTAACTAAAGTGTTTGCTTACTTTACTCATGTACTGCTGATACTCATTCTGACACATGCACAGAGTATTTATTGTGTAGCAGGTGTGATTATTTAGTGCACCTTGACATCCCTTAACTACACAGGCATTAGGCCAATCCCCATGCTGATTCCCTTTAACCAATGAAGGGGTCAGCATGGGCACCACAGTGCCACAGCTCTAACAATGGGTTGCTGCCAAACCTTCTTATGCAAAACACTGCAGAGTTTTGGATCTCTTTTGTTACCCATGTAGCGTTAAACTATGCAACTCTGCTTCAAGAGTAAAAAATTGATTTTGTGTGTGAGTGAGTGGGAGAGAGAAAGAAACTCTTAGCGTTGCACTCTAGATACCTTGGATGGGGGCAACTGCCTTCAACAGAATTTGCCACGCATTTCTCCTTACATATTAAAAACATCTTCTATGTAACATACTGTATATCTCTTTCTGTAGTCTATAAACATGTTTTTTTAAAAAGAGTGTTGAATGGTTAAATCAGACCTGAGTTCAGTTCTTTCACCAGAGAAGACATAGTGTTGGTGATTGAATCTGCTGCTACCAGCAAGTCATTCCTTAAATTTCTTCTTGAACCTGGGAAGACAAGCAAAGCTTTATGTTCAGAGGTCTCCTTACCCCCTGTAAGCTTAACAGCCTAGAGAGTGTAATTAAACTGCAGTGCAGTAAATGAAAAACACATTTTAGATCTATATTCATGTAGCTTTTATGTGGACGTGGTTTCCCCTTTCCTACACCACACAGCAACCACTGCTCAGTGTTTCATCTAATGCTGGTGCCACCAATCTAGAATAAAATATAGACCAGGATCCAAAGGAATGGGATATCCAGTCTGCTTTCCATGTCACAATCAGCTTTGGAAACTCAGAGGACATTCCAAAGCAAGGTTTGCTATGGTGTTGTGATCAGCCAACGAAAACAAAACCTCAGAGAGTTCATGGTGCCTGCCCAAGCCTCAAAACCCCAGCTTCACTAAACTCATGTTGGCCACTGGTCTTAAACTGGTAGAACCAGGGTAGGGGATGTCTGGCCCCACAAATATTGTTGAGCTCAAGCTCCCATCACTTCCTGCCAGAATGGCCAATAGTCAGGGATAATGAAGTCCCAACATCATCTGAAGGGACACAGGTTCCCCATCCCTTCCGATATAACTTTCTAATGAGCTAGTTCCATGCGGAACACTACAAAAACAAACAAATAAAAAACAAACCCCATTTTCCACTGAGTTAAAAACAGCAACCTGGCTTGTAATCCTTCCCATGCTTATTCTTTATTTGCTCTGGATCTTCATTGCTTAAGAACGAAATACAAAATTCATATATTTTGCATTTTCTAACACAGCTTCTCAGTGTCTTACCCGCTTCCTCCTCCATTGCAAGCTTATACTTTCAGCAACTGTTTACTGCTCCAGCCCACATGCACTATCCACAAAGGCTGAGGAGGGGGATCTTCTTCAGCCCAAAGCTTACATTCCCCTGTGGGCAATCTTCCAGAGACTGCATGCTGGACTGGTGATCAGAGCCAGAAGCAAAAAGCAGGCTGAGCAGTGGAGGGACTTTTAACCCTTTCTGACAGCCTTTCATTGAGGTTATATTCCAGTGGAGGCTATGTTCCAGCCACACAATTCAGAATTATCCATCCATACACCCCCCACGTCTTCCCACCTTCTATCCAAGCAAGCAAGAAGCATTAGAACCCAAGGACAATACACATTCAGACAAGAACACAGTCTATGAGAGATGCAGCCTGGGGAGGGTGTGTGGCCTGCAGAGAATCCTGAGGTCCAAATACACAGCCTTGGAGGACTGTATTTGGTCCCCGGGCTCTGTATTTGGTCCTCGCCTCTGACTAAAGCAATACAAGGGAATTGGTGCTCCTAACTAAAGAATCACTTTTGTTATAGGGACTTGGAGGCCAATGAAGAATACTCGGAGGAGTCAAGCAGCTGGCATGAGAAATTATCATGCAACAATGTAGCACATTATGAAGAAGTATAATTGCTATGGCCAGAGAATACAATGCATCTTTATGTACACTTGATTAATAGAGGATGTTGTGTCTGTTGCAGATAATCTGGCTTGTTTAGTTAGTTAGGCCAAATCTTTTCCTCATGCTTTTCATTATGGTGAAACAATACTAAGTTTTTACAATTGTTTTATGCCATTAGGAATTCTCTCACTGATACCACTTGTTCTAAACACAAGCTTTTAATTAGCCTAAATCGGGGTGCCTTCCAGATGTTGTTGGAGTACAGCTCTCGTCAACCCCAACCACTGGCTATGCTTCCGGGGCTGATCTGGAGGCATCAGTTGGCTATGCCCACCTTAAATGATAAAAAACTCATTTGTAGATGACATGGCATATGTACGATAAGGAAGAAGTCATTGAGTTGCAGGGCATTTCCCCCACCCCTGCTGACTATTCCTAAGCACAACCACTTTGTAGCAAAGGAGGCTCTGCACAACTTACCTTGCGCAAAGGCTTCTTGCACATCTCCTCCCACGCCTGTCAGAGAGTCTTGAGGTGTGTGGGCTGGAGTTGAGCAGGCAGACGCAGATCTGATGGGCATAGGAATAGGCCGGCTGATAGTGTGGCTGGGAGAAGAGCGTGGGGAGCCTGCCCCTTGGGTCTGGAATAAAAAGGTTTGCTAAGTGGGTTAAGCACGACTTACAGCAGAGAGCGCCCCAGTGCTGCCATCGCCAATTATATTCCTACTGTGCAAACAGTCAGAAAATGCCATGTCATGCTGAATACTGGGATCATCCTGATGGAAAGCGAGCACATCAGTCTCTTTGTTAGTTAATAGGGTCAGGCGTGCATACTAGTAAAACAGCAGAAATGCAAAAATGTAGTGAAGTAAGACAGGAGAAATGGCCAAAAGGATAAGTTCCAGGGTTCAAATGGACATTAAAAAAACCCCATATATGGAACTTCCACCCCCCCATGGAAAATATAACAATGTTATATTTTATAGTTTACATGTTAACAATGTGCATAGTAATACAATACAGTCTTCTATTTTGCATTATTATTATTACTGTTACTATTATATTCTGCTTAATGCCAAAATAGGCTTCTAGGTGTTTTACAAAGTACATAAGAAAAGTTACAAAGATGCAGAGGTCTTTGCATTAAGAAGACTGGGAGTCTTGGATAGAATTGTTAGCTTTTCTTACAGAAAAGAACTGTGTTCATAACTTAGACGTAGGAACTCCTTTCTAAAACAAATACTAGAAGTGTAGGGTCCTGAAATGGACCCAGTACTCCATGCCATCCTCATGCCCAGTGCTTCTCTGCCCTGGCTGTCTTTCAATGGCTTCTGCTTATGGTGGTGCAAGGTGGGGAAGGAAATTGCTAAGCGTGATGATGTCAGGTCACACTTTCTGCTTTAATTAAAGCTTGTTAGGAGATGATGCAAGTTATCATTGGCTGTATGTTTAAGGCAATGCCCAGTTTGGCCGTAGAACACAGCACAAACAGCTATTGTTAGGAAACAAAACCAAACAGCAAACCCCAGCATGAGTGCATGCAAGCCTTTTATGTGAGTCTAAGGAGGGTCTCTCCATCCTGGACAAAAGTGTTTTAACATCAGTCATAAGAAAGACCTGTAGTTGGTCAGTGAAAGTGAGCAGAACACGTCACAGAATACACAAAGATCTTATACTCATCGATTCTCTACCAGCTAATCCTGTTTTTCTCATCCCACGTAGGGAGCAGCAGCAGGTGGTTTACTGAGCCCCACCTGGTTGCCATACAGAGTTGATGAGCAGCATTCAGCTTGGTGGGTTACAGGTTTTGCAGACCTGCTTTAGAGTTACAAACTCTATGCAAGGAAGGGGAATGGACTGCAGAGATAGGAGTCTATACATGGAACTAATGAGTGGTATTCAACTAAGTTTTTCTCAGAGTAGACCCATTGAAGTTTAACATGTCTTAGGTTAGGGCCCCTCATTTCAATGGGTCTACTTTGAG